CTGATCAAAATAAATACAAACACAATAAAAAAAGTAAATTAGTAAATATCTAGAATCCAAAAGTTTACCATGATCCAACAATGTCGGCCTCGGGAGATCTGAAATGAACAGGGTTGGCTCGTACTATGTATTGTATTATAATATATATAGAAGTGTAGTAATAGGGTACTCAGTAGGAATCATAGGTCCGTCGGGCTTTTATAGAAATTATATAAATATAAGAGGCACGATAGTGCTCACACTACGAATCAATGATAAATCAAAAACATACCAAAGCATCACTTATAGAAAAAATACAATAGAGGATTACTTGTAACACCCAAAAATTTTCTAATCTAAGACCTGAACAATTCTTCATTTACTTATAAGATCGTATCGGGTGACTCTTAAATTTTGCCTAGGTGTTAAGGACAATTATTTAGTGTGGGAATAAATAAAGATATAAAATAAGGTAACAAGAATCCCCTAACACAAAGTTGAGTTGAAAGATTCCTTACCGATTAAGTTTTGATATAAGATTTTACTTGAGTCAACTTCAAACAACCATATCTTTTAGAATATAAAGAGCTATGTGGCCCATAACCTATTGTCCTCATGCCCTACATCTCAATTCAATCAATAGCAAGTTGAATCTAGAGTTCAACCCTCAGTTTTATGAAATTTTTAATATGAGTTATGTTTTTGTTCTGAATTCTAAATTTTTATATTATGAGATTGCAATATTATGTGCATTGATATCCTTAAGTTGTTGTTCATGCTTATACTTCACACGAACCCTAGTTGATGAAATTTTTATTGAAATCCTTTGTGCATTTAATTTCATGCATTGGTTTTTGAATTTTAATGTGAGTTCAAGAGTATTTTTAAAGTATCTTTTGAGAAGAGTTTAAGGGAAAATGGATGGTTCAAAAAGTACTATTTTCACATTGGGTAAAGAACTACTATTCTAAAGAAGAGCATAGATAGTTTTCAAAAGCACTTCAGCCAGACAAAGAGAAGTTCAGTTACCCCTTAAAGATGGTATTGCTTTTCACATTGAAAAGATAGTATTATTTTTCAGAAAAATATAAAGTGTTTTTAGAGTATTTGAGAAAGATTGATTACAATTAAGTTACGTCTTAAAGAGGCCTTTTTGAGTAATTATCGCAACCCACTGAGTATTTTACATGAGCATATATATATTGGGAGTAGTATTGAGCACCGATGTGGGGGGAGTTCTAATAACTCACAAGCCCCATAAACAATGTAGCCAGTGTAGATAGGATCATATCGTAAGACGGATGAATCCTCACTTACCTCAAGAAGACCTTTTAGTAAATCTGTCATGCCTCGGGCCTACCCCCTGTTCGTGGATGACACTTGAGAACCATTTTTAATCCCTAAGCGAACTCTTGGCCTGGCTGACTACTTAGCGGAAGACTCACTAAAATGATAATAGGCTTAAAACATAAATTTATCTCAACATAAACTTAATATGAATGTCTGAAAAATGCCCATTTGCAATAAAAGTAGTAATTTGTAAAACAGTCTTTAAAGGAAAGAAGGTATGGAGAAACTCCTCAAATCTAACTACCTATGAAGACTCTAATACTATGATAGATTTCGGGACAAGACCCACAAAAACTCAACAATAACATGGAAATAAATGTGAAATCTTCCGAAAATCAAGGAGGCTCACTGAAGCGCAAAGTGATCTCAACTAAATGCATATTGATGATCTTGAATACCTATATCTGCATAAGAAAAGATGCAGGTCGAATGACATTTGTACATTGAATGCACAAATATATAATATAGACAAATGTATAATTAATTGAAATGATAAGGCAGGAAGAATACTTACCTCAATTCAACTCAATACAAAGCTACAATGATCCAAGGTAGACCCTAGGTGAAACATGGCGTATAAGACCCCAAGAGGATCCATACCAGCCACTTAGCATATATCATACAAGATAATAGAAATCAAGATATTTAAAAGATAATTTATATCATAAAAGAGTTTTATAGAATGAAGCAAAAGTCTAACAATGTCTCAAAGCCATCTAATGCAAAAGAGATATGGAGACATACATGTACATCAAGTTCAAAATTGAAATGTAAAGACAATATAAAATAAAGGTTTGGTCCTCGAAACATGAGGACTCATCAATCTTTAAACTTCTACTAATAGATCCCTAGCCACGAAGATGGGAAACCGGAACATCGGACCCTACATTTGAGAAACAATGTAGGCAAGAATATGTGTTAGTACAAAAATATACCAAGTATGATAGAAATGCATAAAAGTTATGAAATCATGCTAAAAGGACATTTAAGTGATATGCCAAGACCATGTCAATACATGAGATAAGAGGATTAGAAAAAATAAATCGGAATCATGGTGAATGCAAGTAAAGTCATCTTTGAATACATGTGAAATACTTCTTGAAGTAACCTTAGTTCATTATTATTGTGGGAAGTATCCTAAATCGACATAGAGACCATGTGAGCTATAACATGGAATCCGGTGTAATGCTCCCACACCAAAAACAGAGTGTCTTACTTTCCAATGTAGAACCATGAACTTCTAGCTTGCGTGGATCCACTAGCTACTGTCTAACTAAGACAATCATCCTATGGGGGCACATAGTTATGGGACATGGATGGTCGCCACTTGTCCACTCGGTGCTAAGCATAAATCCCACTGAATAGTTATTAATCTTAACTTGTCTTATCATTAAGAGACATAGGTAGTCACCGTTTGTCTTAACATAGGATAGCTCCTTAGACCGTACGTGAGAAAACCTTTCACCATCCATGATCATTTAATAATAGCTTTTAAGGCCCATAGTCATTCACTTCATGCTAGAGATGCCCTGCTACTAATGGAAATAATTTTTAATTCATGATCTATAATCATTGATGGCATATCCGGATACTATACTAATCAAGACCTAATTTAGGAAAATAGCTCGAAAAGCAGTGAGGGAAAGTCTAGATGTGGTTCATGTCATGTGGCCAAGTTTCATAGAATATATATATATACCTTAATCTATAAGCTTCCTTGAGTCATAATCATTACATTCATAAAACATGCATTTTACAATAATTTATAAGCTTCGTCATATTTTCACAGTCAAAGCATCTTCTAATTTATTTTGATCAATTTCATAAATAGAAGATATGCATATTTTCATAAATTTATCTCTGATAGTTCAAGACGCACATTATATCACCATAGCTTAGAAAACATCAGTTATGCATGGGTTCATTGGGAATCAACTTAAAAACATGAAGTTACTTCAATTCATGTATATAAAAACATAAAGCAATCAATTGAATCAACATTGGAAAAAAATCATGGCAATTGAAGAAAACCCTAACTTGATTGGAGAATCTAGCTTTACAAAATTGGAAAATTTAAGAACCCTAGGGAGGAAAGGAATCCATAGGTGAATACTAGCATACCTTGGAGTTCAAAGCCCTTAAGCAATTTGGTGAATTGGAGGCTTGATCTTGAAATCCTAACTTGACTTCTTCTTCTTCCTTTAGAGGGAGAAATATTTGAGAGGAGGAGCTTGATCTACTTTTGGAAATTTAAGAGAATAAATTGAGTTTGGGTGATTTGAGGTTTAAAATCATTACATAGGGCTTTGGGTAGAAGGCGAAATGACGTAGTATTGAGTTAAAATAATTGGGGAAAAGAACCAAAACTCCCTGACTTAAAACTATTGAATTGGCATCAAGGAGGCCTACACGACCCGTCATGCACTACCACGGCCCGTCTAACGAGTCATGAAGAATTTCTGCCCGACAGGGCTACACTATTTCAGGCATAACTTTTTACTCTGAGCTTTGAATTAGGCAAACTCGGTGGCGTTGGAAAGAGGACTCAGAGTTCTTTAATTTGATCGGTTATGGGCTACCTAATTCATTTTGTTCTAATAGATATGATCGTTTGAAGTTGACCCTAAACATTAAGTTAGATAAAACCCCTTCACTTACGACTTCATGGTCTGTGTGGGGCTTCACAGGCCATTTTGATGCCCGTGGTCCTTAACAAGTGGCTATGGGAGAACCCCTACTGACCTGACCCCCTTCACGACCACTTTAAGAGCATGTCACCATCTTCACGGTCCATCTAGTGGTCCGTGGGAGGGAACCTGCATGGGGCAGGTTCTGCCTTCTTGTTATGAGCACCATAAAAGGTTGTGGTCCCTTTCACGGTCCGTCTAGGGTTCCGTTGAGGGTCCCATGGTCCAATTTGGGTTCTTGACAACCCCGTTAGACACATTCCTAGACTTTCTCGCACTACAAGAAAAGTCCTGATTACCTGGGGATTTTCATAGGGATAATACAATAAAATCCCCAAGTAATTTGGTTATCTGCGGATTTTCTTGCCAATTGAAATCCGATGGAAAAACCTTCCTAGGTAACTATTAGTTGTGGATTTACAAAATCCCTAGGTAAGTTAGTTGCTGAAATAAATCCATATGTACCTTATTTGCGAATTTATCTACGATTAAATATAAAAAATTCACAAGATTTTCTTGGTAAAATTTCATACGCAAAGGAATTTACCTGCAGATTATCATAGAAAATTCTGCAAGTTATTCCCATGAAGATCCCCAAGTAAATCCGTAGGAGGTTTGAATATTATAATTCCTATTTAATAAAATAAAATTTCTTACGGATATTTATGAAACAATTTGGCAAAAAAAGAATTATGAAAGACCCAAGTAAATCCGCAAGAAAAAATTCTCACAAAAAAAAAATTCATGAATATTTATCATCTAAATCCCCAAATAATAATTCACATTCAAACCGCTAGATAAATTTCATAATTAAACAAAAAACTATTCGAAACCTCCAATAATTCTCAAAATCATCATTCAAAATAAAATCATTCCAACTAACAAAAATCATAATTCATGACATCCATTTCAATAATGTATGATTCTTAATGGTCCAAAAGAAAATATTTCAAATTTGAATCCTCAATAGAACTACCAACCATCTCAACCATAATTATGATCACTTCCATTCACGTTATCAGGGTTAGAATCTCTTTCATTCATGCTATTAGAGTCATCATCACTTTCATTCTCATAAGTTTGGTTGTCTTCTTGAGATGATTGCTCATTTGAAAATGATTTCTTGTATACATGCTTCATCAACAAGTCTAATTCCTTTCTCATCTTCTTATTTTTGTGCCGCTCATTCTGCAACTGAGCATAAAAATCAGCATTTGAAGCATTTATCTGTGACTTAATCATCTCATCAATATCTTCAGGCAAAGTTGATGTTGATTGCTTCAATGTCTTTACAGTTCGACCTAAGGATACATGACCTTTGACTCTTCCTTTTTTCTTTCCACCAGCAGATTGCACCCAGATATCCATTTCACTTATTTGAGAAGGTTCAACTAGCTTCTCCCTCCCCATCTAATGCATTTTGAGCAGCTAATATATCTTGTTTGTTTCTTTCAAACTCTAGCTGCACAAGGATATAATATTTTGGACCATGTATAGTTTCATTAGAAAATATATTTCATTAGCAAAATATATTGGATTCTAGCATCAAATGTAAGCACAACAAGAAAAAATGAGAAACGGTAACTCAAATGAACAATTTAATTTATGTAAATGATATCATCATCTTCACAATTAGTAACTGAACATCTGCTAAAATGATGGAAAGCATATTTCAAGCCAGCTTTATAATTAAATGGGACAGAGAATAGAAATAAATTTTATATATACAAAAAAAAAATTAGCAGACAAATCAAACAAAGAAAACAAACTTTTGATCTCACTTGATTGAAACTAAATGTCTTAACTAAGCATTCAAAATGCAAAAAAATAATAATTAATGTTGAATTCAATTATTCTAAAACACATCGTGTTGCCGAGATAAAACAACCTGAATGTAAACAAACTCGAGCTGAAGCTAAATGTTTTAACTAAGCATTTAAAACGTAGAAAATTGAATGTCTTAACTTATCAAGGTACGCACATTCTTGTTTGTAGAAATATTATCTAAGATTAATCTTATCAAGTTTTTGGATCCTTTTTTTCTAAGATATTAGCAAGCATGTATAAAGTTGTCATTTTCTGTTTTACACCACTTATCTGTTCATTGCAAAAATCAGAAGTTCGGAAAAAACTTAGCAATATTTTCCTATGCAAATTTTTGAAGCTTATAAACAATTTTCGTATGGTAGGCTTAACTTTATTCTGTAAGTATAACCCTGAGAACCTTTTGTTCTTTAAATTTGTAAAACTTGTGCTTTTTAGTTTAGTTAATTGAGAACTCCACCCCTATTAAAAATTTAACAGACGAATGAGGTCAGCTATTTCATCGAGTGAATGGCAAATATTCAGTTATATTTTTTTCCTTTCTAACGTTCTAGGTAGTTTTCAAGTAGTAGTTTTTTAGTGTGTCTATACAACATATTTAAAATTTAATGTTCTGAAGAACCTTCTCTTTGTGTATAGTTGTAAGAACAGAGACACCCTTAGAAAAAAGCTAGTGCTTGAAGTGAGCACATCTGCAATTTTTTCAGAGAAAATAGCACAACCTTTTATCCTACAAGTAATGGTTCCAACTACTCCAACTAGAAAACATCTACAAGAAATTTTCCAGGGTGAAACGAGCCAAAACTGCTCGTCCTAACAAAAACAAAAATCAACATTTTTCGCAGCTAAAAAACAGCATTTCAGCAGTTAAAAAGAGCATTTTAGCCATAAAAAATAGCATTTCAGCATATAAAAAAATATAGTACTTTTCAGCAACAATATATAGCATTCGAGGAACCAAAAAATATAGCATTTCAGCCGCAACGAAAACAATATTTCAATAATAAAACAACCTAGATACTCTTATATTCGATGGACTGTGATGATGGAATGCACCTCTCACCCACCTAAATATTAGGCCCTAATGATACTATGCAGCAGAATAAAATTAATGACTAGTGCAATCTACAAGCTTCCCTGCGACTAACTTGATGTGTACTTTTATTCTATTGCTTAGTTTGTAGTTAGGCTGCTTCTATTTTTTAGTCGATGAGATTAGTTTAGCTAGTTTACTTATGTACGGAGAAATATAAAAGTACCTCTTTGTCTGTGGAAATCTGCACTTTTGGTATTAGTAAAACTATTATTTACCAAAAGTTATATCCCAAAAAACTAATATAAAGAATAAGAAATTAATCCAAGTTCAGAGATTTTGAAGTTAAAACTAAAGGTGAAAGTTACAGGGCTAAGGTATTGAGATGGTTAACAAAACAATTAAATAGATGCTTTCAGTCGTAAAAAAGATCATAACTAATACCAATGGATAAGAGATTTGATAAGATTATCAAAAGTATTAAAGAGATGCTTCAAGTCGCAAATTACTTTACTAAACTGAGTAAAACAAGTAGAGACGATTATAGCTAATACCAATCGATAAGAGACTTGATAAGCTTCATAAAAGTATTAAAGAGATTCTTTCGGTCGCAAATTACTTTACTAAACTGAATTTAAAAGCAAACCAAGTAAAGACGGGCTATCTATCTTTAGAAACTATACAAAACGTCAAAAGGAACTAACAAATAATTTATGAAACTGACATCATTTTCCTCTCAATATCTATGACAAAGAATTGATGTAAAGAATAGATGATTAACCCCAATCATAGATATTTTGAAACCAAACAAGTAACTAGAAAAATAGAGATAAAAGAAATTCTGAAATTAAAGGAACCAAATTACCTCATAAAGAAAGGAGTGAGAGAACACATTCTTAAACCGAATAAGTAACTAGCAAATAGAGTGAATGAGCACTTACATAGGCAGCTTCAGCTTTCTCATTTATCCAACTTTTATCACTTTTCTTGCGATGAGTTCGGAAATAAAATTCTGAAATTAAAGGATCTTTTCCAGTAGCTTCTTTCTATAATAAAAAAAAGATATTTATGTTATCAACGCTGAGTATGATGTTATTTTCTTGAAAGAAATATATTTTAAACAAGATATAAAATTGTCATTCTCTTATAGATCAATTGATGAGGTATGAAACCACCTATATGAAGTGATGCACCAGCATTCGAATCACGTTTTTTTTTTCTGGTCGGACTTTTTCTTGAACTCATCCAACTCCCAATGCTCTTTCACCTCCTTGAATACCGCATCTCCCATCCAATTTGGCTTCGGAGGCAAGTGTTTTCTAACATCTTGAAACAGTTGTGTCAATTTTGAAGATGCTCTTTTTTGAAAATTAATCCATATAGCATCATTATATTGTGGAAGCCATTTAAATCTCTTCTGCATATATCAAATGAATACCATATTAGTCATACAATCCAACACTTTTATTTAAATATGAACTATAATTTATAAACCTTTTTACCTTTAATTCCTCAAACCATATCAAGTGACTAGATTTTGAAAACTTCTTCCATGAAGGTCTAGCCAATTCAAACTTACTACGAATGCAACTAGCAATACCATCTGTAACTATCTTGTGAGGATCAAACCTACATAAAATATATAATAGTTATCAAAATATAAACAGATAAATAGTCCACCTATATATATATTAGTTTTTCAACATGTGCGTTGCACGTGACTATCAATTCAGAAAATATATGTTATAGTAAATAGAATCGCTTATTTAAGCGGAGGTTTGAATAATTAACTTTGCACAAAATATTATTGTAGATTCTTTTGTGATTGTTTAATGTGGATCGTCATATATAGCTCTTATTCACACAAACCTGGTCAATGAAAAATTTTATTAGTTAAATGCAATAATGTATATAATTATTTCAATTTGAAGAGGTTCAATCATATAATTAGTCATATCTCACTAATATTACCTTATAGACGATATTTGTTGTATATTTTTCTTGTCATCTAAAGCACGTGTATTTCATGTTAAATTGTTTAGATGTCATATGAACATGTAAAGAGAACAACTACATTTTATTTTTTAGAACTATTTTTTTGTATATTAATTTTTATTTTATAAGTTATAACATAATAGATGGCGTTCTTGTTGTTGGCTCTCATATTTAACTTCACGATTGACTGTAAAAGGTTAGTCAGTGTCCATAGTTAACTGAGAAACATTTCCTTTTTTCTACTGAAAAAACTAACAATTAAAATTATCGAATATATTCTATCTGTGAAATCATATGTATAATCACCTGGTTTACCTTACACCCAACAAAAATATAGTTCCATATCCTTGTAAATGATTTTTAATTTATTCAACCAAGCATGATTCATCCAAAGAAAAATAACAACACCCTGTTATTAGATATATAGTGGCAGTAATATGAAAAATTATTGGTAATAACTTAATATGAGAAAAGATGAAAGATAGAAATAATTCATGTAATAACTATGGGAATTCATAATATTATAACTAAAGAATGTAAAAGAGTGTGAATAACCTTTGAAATAATTAGTATATAACTAAGTTAATTTACAATGTTATAACTAAAGAATATATCTGCATCACAAGAGAAATTGTTAAAAAAACAAATTAATTTAGACTACATCATGTTAACTTTATATATTGGAACATTACATACTTCTGTATATATAAAGCAAAAAAATATATATATCTTCAAATATTATTTTCCTCAAGTACTCGAGATTATGGAATTTATCCTCTTAGGATAAAAGTGTTTACTTCATCAGAATAGTGGTACCTCATATTCCGCAAAACTTCGAACTCACTCAACGACAATAAATCAGATGAAAATTTTTAAAATGCAAGAAGAAGAAGAGTAGAAGATTAAAAAAATTGTGGTTTAAAAATGAGAGGAATCCCCTCTATTTATAGTCAACAAAGGGTAGTATTAACAAGTATTTTTTGTGTCTTATCTTAAAAGACGTGACCTGTCCGAGAAGTTACAACCCTTTGAAAAAGTCACAACTTATTGAAAAAGTTACAACTCTTTAGAAAAGTCACAACTCATCGAAAAAGTCACAACCCTTTGAAAAAAGTTACAACTTATCAGAAAAGTCACAATTCATCGAAAAAGTCACAATTTTTCAAGAGAACATATGTTATTCAAATAAATATAGATGGGTGTTTTAAGTTAGGGATATTATAGTAATTTAACATTCAAGTTAATTAGGAGTTCATGCTTTTAAGGAAATATAGATATAGATAGATATAGATATAGATATATATTATTCTAAGTTAGTCATATTACCCATCCTCTTCAGGTACAATCCATATTTGATGATCTTCGTTTACATTGTCAACTATAGTAGATGAGGGTGTTGGAGTCCTATTATCCGGTGGTGATATCAATGGTTCAGCTTCTTGATTTGTTGGTGGAGATTGATTAGATTGAGATTGCGATTCAATGTTAGGAGGCTGAGGCTGATTGACCCCAAGACTAGGCTGAAGTAAAGGAGACTCATTTACATGAACTGGACTAGTATGGGAATAGAGGGATTGTGACAGGATTATGGGAGGCACATCATTGTTATGTGGCTGGGGTCGATTAGCATCAAGATTAGGTTGACGCGAGGAAGAGCTATTGATCTGAAGTGAACTAGTATGAGATTTAAAGAATTTTGTCGGAATTATAGGGGGCAATTGAATTGTTTGTCGCTCTGTTGTCTGTGTTTTTCTTTTACTTGACTTACCTCCTTTACAACTAGGCTGTCCATCTCTTCCAGATCCTGCACCTGACATCTGCTGCAAATAAAAATTAATAAAACAACTTTAGATCATCACTAGTTTTGCATAATAAAATGTACACCAACTTCCAACGGTTAAATTTTTTCAATCTAAATTAACTTATACAAATAAAAACTAACTTAGGCAAAGTAAAAACATAAATATTTTTGTTTAACTTAACAGATGACGCTAGCTTTTACCAGATATATTATTGTACAGTGGAAAAACAAATCGACAAACTAATATTCTCAATCCTCCTCATTTTTGTCTTCGTCTTCTTCTTGACCTACTTAATCATCACTATCAAAAAATTCTTGCTCTTCACTTGTTGCCTCCTCTTCCTCAACAGTAGAGGCAATAGTGGGTTCGACAGAAGCCATGAGGGCATTCTGGATGAGTTGGTCCTCACGGAACCAAGTTAGGAAGGCAGGATTAGGAGATATATTTGTGCCGAGAGTAATCGTGCGACTGGGGGACGGAGTGGTTCCATCGAGATGGCCAAAGAGGTTGTAGCCATACATAAGGATGGAAAATTGGGCTTTCCAGGTGGCGAAGTTGTGACCACCGCTTAGTTTGATGGGTAATTGGGATGCAGGATTGAATTGAATGATAATATTGGTACCTGTCGTGTTGTCAACATTGACAACTCTGGGATTGTTGCCATTGTTGTTACCATTGTGATTGGTCATTGTTGCTGATCTGCGTGAGGAGGAGAAAAAAAAATTGATCGTACTCGTTAGAGCATGAAGAGCCCTGATACCATATAAAGACTGAATGTGTGCTGAAAAGAGTATATTTATTAATGAAGGCAGCAAGGTATTAAATAGAGTTACAGGGAAAATAATAAGACTCCTAAACGAACTGAACTAAAGTAATCTAAATAAATAATAACTGCTGAATTAGTAATGCAATCCTAATACGACTAAACTACTGAGTGATGTCCTAACACTAGATGTTCTAATACTCATCTTCTTTTTCACTTGTTGTCTCATCATCACCTTCCTCTTCTTGACTCGATATCTCCTTATCATCCTCTTCAATTAAATCATGTCCATCTTCAATGCCAATGACTTGTAAACTAATTCAATCAACCTCTTCACCATCAGCTTGTTCATCCCGTAAACCATCGATTGGGTCATCCTCTATACTTGCACTAGTAACACGTGATTGCTCCCCTTGGTAAGCAGCTTCCAAATTGTATCTTGTATCTATAGCTCCTCTTGGATTTGTCTTTATAACTATCCACCAATCAGCCTTATTTCTTTTTTTTTTTCAAGACGATTAGCATAATAAACTTGGGTTGTTGTTTCGGGAAAGATGAAAGAGTCAAATTTAGAATATCTTCCCCTTTTTCGAACCTCAACAATACCAAATTGACTATCAACTCTCATGCCATTTTTATAGGGATCAAACCAATCACAATAAAAGAAAACTAACTTCATACATGATGTCATTGGCCATTCTAACTCGATAATCTCCTTAAGAACACCATAATATTCACTTATAGTACCATCTTGTCCAGTGCCACTAACATACATGCCACTGTTATATGTACTTCTTCCTTCACCCCAAGAAGAAGTATGAAATTTGTATCCATTCACAAAATAAACAGGCCAAGATTTTGCTCGTATAAGTGGTCTCATTGCTAAGATTTTCAGAAATGGATTCGGTGACATCTCTTGTGGATTACTATTCACCTATCAAATAATAAAATCCTATTAGATATGATTTTTTTATTGATATATTCTTATGCAAAATTGTTATAATATTTTATACATAACCTTTGAACCATCGTGGACAGTCTTCAGCAATTTGTTTATCAATGTCATCATCAGTGAGATCACGGTAAGTATCTCTCAGGACTTTCTAATACAAACTGCACGTATTTGAATTAGCACACCAAATATAATTAAGCTTCTCTTAATAATCAAATGAATGCTATGGTTGGAACATACTTGAGAAAAGGTTTAACTTCATCGCAATTTATAAGAACATGCAACTGTGCAGCAATAACTTCTTTATCATCTAGCCATCGGATATCACCATCCTTCTTACCATAACTTCGACCAAAATGATTAAAGACTGATAAAGTTGGGTGACTTTCATCTTTTTCAATGACATCATCATTACGCCCAACTCTATTGTTGCTACATAGGACATGAGATTCAAAATAATGGGAAGCAAAGTATGAGATTTCTTGAGCACAATATGCTTGACAGATAGATCCTTCAACTCTAGCTTTGTTTTTTATGGTCTTTCTAATTTTGTTCAGGAGCCTACACTTAAATTTAAGAAATAAATAAAATATGTAATAAATTAATGAGACAAGTAATAGATTTTAGGAATATATTTTTATACTTACCGAATGGATACATCCATCGATATTAAACTGGCCCACAAACTCTTGCGTCGTAAGAAAAATGAATTAGTAAGTGCTCCATCGAATCAAAAAAACTGGGTGGAAATATTCGTTACAACTTACATAAGATTATAGAAATATTTTGTTCCATTTGCATTAGATGATCCTCCCGTAGTACTGTTGAGCACAAGTCTTTAAAGAAAAGACTGAGTTCAGTTAATGACTTCCAGATAGGTTTTGGAAGTGCACTAAAAGAAACTAGAATAAGGTATTGCATAAAAATATGACAGTCATGACTTTTTATTCCAAATAACTTCAAATGTTCCATGTCAACACATCTACTCAAATTGGAAGCATATCTATCATGCATCTTTAGTTGATCAACCCATTCACACACATCTTTCTTTGGGCCATCATTTAAGGTAAACTTTACTTTCGGTTTAATTCATCTCCCATCATCATTCAATTGCAAGTGTAAATCATTTCAACGACAATATTCTTTCAAATCCATTCTTGCCTTCTCATTATCCATTGTCCTCTCTTTGTTGTCCATAATAGTATGAAAAATATTGTCAAAACCATTCTTCTCTATATGCATTACATCAAGATTATGGTGAACTAAATTGGTCTTCCAATATGGCAAATCCCCAAAAATACTTTTTTTGGTCCAATTATGTGATTTTCCAAAGCCATAGAATTTGCGTGGACCAGATTCACTGATCTTAGGAAACCCTCTCACTTTTTGCCACACTTGATCTCCACTTAACCTAGGTGGAGGCCTAGACTTCTCCTCTTTTCCTTTGTAAAAATAATTTTTATTTCTTCTAAATTCATGATTTAGAGGCAAGAATTGACGATTACAGTCAAACCAAGTAACTTTTCTTCCATTTTTCAAACTAAATGTTTTTGTATGTTCCATACAAATTGGGCATGCTAATTTACTGGTTGTACTCCATCCCGACAACATGTCATAAGCTGGAAAATCATTAATTGTTCACATCAATGCTGCTTGCATAAGAAAGTTTTGCTTCTTTGATACGTCATAAGTTAGTACACCATCTGTCCATAATTGTAGCAACTCGTCTATTATTGGTTGAAGATACACATCAATTTTATTCTTGGGATTGTGAGGATCTGGAATAATCAATGTTAAGAACATATATGGAGCAATCATACAAATATCAGGAGGAAGATTATAAGGAGTGACAATCACTGGCCAACAAGAGTACGGTGATGCCGACCGACTATAAGGAGTAAAACCATTAGAACAAAGACCGAGCCTAACATTTCTAGTCTCTTGAGCAAAGTCTAGATAAGTTTGGTCAAATTTTTTCCATTTTTCTCCATCTGAAGGGTGGGACAACACACCTTCTTCTCTGTGATTTTCATAGTGTTACCTCATGTTCTCGACAGATCGCTTTGAAGCATATAGATGTTGAAGCTATCACGCCCCGAGCCTACACCCTGGGCGAGACTGGCACTCGAGAACCATTGCTGGCCCCAAGAGAACCCTTGGCCTGACTTACTTACCCAACGAAAGACTTAGACATAAGAAAGAGAATCCAAATACAAGATAACTCAACATGTCTCAAACTGAACTCATAATGTTTTAAAAATAAACATTTAACTTAGCCAAAATGGCAACTCAAATCTGAACATAAGACAATAACAAAATGATGACAAATGAACTAACATTTGACTGACTATTTATGAAGCCTCTAAGACAACTGAGATGGATGTCGGGACAGGCCCACGACATCCTAATGAACTAAAATGACAAAGTAATGAAAAAGGGGGATCCTCCGGAATGCAAGGAGGCTCACCAACAACTCTGAAACTCAACTGGATCAACGATGTGTGGGATGCTGATCATGGTTACCTGTGTCTGCATCATAATAAGATATAGGCCAACATACATCAGTACATTCAATGTACGAGTATGCGAGTTGGAATGCTAAACATAACTTAAGCTTGAAAAGAATCTGAAAGAAACACTTACCTTGGCTTTGCTCAACTCTTGAATAATTTAACTCAACTTACTGAACTCATTTAAATATAAAGCAGTTTAAAAACAAGTGCAACCTAAACAAAAGATGTTTAAAACATGATGTCAACTCTGTGTATTTATAAATACAATAATAACTCTGTATGTATGCAAAGATACAATACAAACTCTGTTTGTATATGTAAATATAAAATACTGTTCTGGGAGTTTCTCTAATTGACAACCATCACTTAAGAGCTATAGTGATGATACAACGTTTCTTGGCCCTACGCTGCCAGGGCCATCCTATACCTTATCGGGGGTATAGAACCTGAACTACTAAGTGGATCCACTAGTCTATGCTAAAAAAGTACTAAGGGTTCATCTAAAAAGTATAACCATTTTCTACCCATGATGGCTACATGGTTTATGGGGGCTGTGAGTTGTCTGAACTCTTCCCCATATCGATGCTCAATACTACTCGCACAAAAATAATATTAGCTCTTACGTTTAAAAAACATACTTCTTTCTGTGATTTGAAATTAGTGCTCAAAAATTTCTCAAAGGCTATCTTGGAAATAAATGTTTCCCCTCTTGCTTTATTTAGAAAGAGATTACTCTTTTCTGAAAACTAGCTAGAAGGCTCTTTTGGAAATCGAGGTTTCCTTTTCTTGTTTAAATGTGAAAACATTTAAAACCCTTTGGGAATACATAGTCCCTATATACTTTTGAAGAAATGAACTTCAAACTTTACTCATTACTCTTTACTCAGCTAGAACTTTAAATCTTAAAACAAAGTTAAAACATTTGAAAAAAAGACTTGGAAAACTCTAAGAACTTCTCTTGACTTTGACCTTAGCTGTTCTTGACTTGACTCTTAGCTGGTCCTTGAATTGAATTATGGATTCAGGATTGTGATTTGTGATTGGAAATATCTCATGATGTTTAGGAATGATTTCAAATAGTTAAACATGAGAAAATTATCAAGAATCGATTCTGGGGAACTGCTTCATGTCGTGGAGGTGATTTCAAATATTAGGTCGCGAATTAACTTTTGAGGCAGAATGGTTCATGACCGCTCCGTGATGCGAGGATGAATTTTTCAAAACTGTGGGGTGGGTCCCCGACGCAGCCTGGGCACCATATTTTGCCCGACTTTTTCCTTCTTCATTTTTCCATCCCCAATTCACCTAAACTCGACTATTTTTCTCAAATTCTCTTAAGATTCAGATACCCAATGTTTGTAACCATGAACCTAACTGAAAGCAACTCTAAAACTCGACGTAAATATCTCAAGAACTTCTCAATTCAACCAAATACAAGAACAAAAAACAAATTCAAGAACACCATTCAAGATTCATCAATTCTCAACTTTCTAGCACAAACTTCTCTAAAATAAACATGATTGGTGCGTGGGTGAATGAACCCAACGCTATGAAAGACTCACATACCTTGTAGGGATCACCCCCGATGAAATCCACAAGCTAAACTCGACGAACTTGACGATTTCCTTGCTTCTCCTTCTCTTTTGTCCTTTCCTCTTCTCTAAAACCCTAACTCTTTTCCAAAAGCGTAAAACTGATCAAGTTCATTTTAGACCCTTAATTAATTCACTAAAACAAATTTATTTAATTGGATATGGAAACGACTGAAATACCCTTCAAAAATCCGGATTGGACATTTCCTTATTTGAACAGCCGAACTTCCAAAGTGCATAACCCACTCATACGAACTCGGAATCGCGCAAACTTAGTGGCGTTGGAAAGATTATTCCAAGAGATTTTCAACCATTTTTGGAAGTACACCTAAATCATTCTGAGCTAGGAGTTATGGCTGTTTGAAGTTGACCAAAAACTCACTTTTCCTAACTTAAACAAATTTCCAGATTTTTCATTATTTCCATAAATGACTATTTCCAGTTCTTAGCTTCTTCCTAGCTATTTCAAATTGTGAGATATTACAATATCTCCCCCTTGGGAACATTCGTCCTCGAATGAGATTACTCATACTAGGCTAGTAACATCAGGTTCAAACACCCAACAAGCAAATGCAACAAACAACATGCTCACTTGTAAATAAATACTAAGAAAGGATTAGTACCTTGATGTGGAATTTCTGTGGCTTCGAAGAGATGTGGATATCTCTTCTTCATACTATTCCACCAATAGACTTCTCTCAAGACACAGTACATCTTGGTGGAACCCGGATGAATGGAATATCTGGAGCTATTAGCTCTCTCCATGATCCTCTCTTGGGTTCCATCCACCATTGATACACACAACCTACCTTGATGTCTCAACACACCATCTCCCCATTGTTCAAAAGCTAATACATTTTGCTTATGACCATTTGCCTTCAATTCAAGCAAGATAGTGTCTTGGTCTTGATCGCCTTTTACTTCTGACAGTAATGATGATTCAGCCCCATTCATCACCACTACTCCTCTTTCTATGGAATCCATTAGTCGAACTCCTAGTTGTGCAAGTCTATGCACCTCTTTTGCTAACTCTTTCTTATCTTACTCAAAATGGGTGGTACTATCCATAGACAACCTGCTTAAAGCATCAGCAACAACATTAGCCTTACCTGGTTGATAAATAATACTCATGTCACAATCTATGAGTAACTCTAACCACCTTCTCTGTCTGAGGTTAAGCTCTTTCTGACTAAACACATACTG